ATGTGAACCATTTAGGGTATATTGATATTTTGTTTCTTCTTCTTCTTAGATTGAGTATTCTAATATAGGTTCATGATATATTCAATGAAACATTGACATTAGTCACTATTTTTTTAATATGGGCGATTGGTCTTATTTTTTCCTTACCATTCTTTATTTTTGCTGTTTATGATCCGTCATTTAATCCAACTGATTCATTAAATAATACATCACATCTTGTAACAATTTGTCATTTAAATGCTAATTCAAATACTGCACGTGCTTGTATAACATGGTTTATTGGTTTACTTATTTTTGTCCCATTTTTCGTTTTAACATTTATATATGCACGTATTATACTTGAATTAGCTCGTCATCGTGCTATACGTTTAACAGCTATAGCAAAAACTCGACAACAACAACAACAACAACAGCAATCATACGATGATGAAACAAATAGTTTAAACAGTGGTTTGCCATCAAATAATGATAATCAACAATCACGTTCATTTCTTGCTTATAAACGTTTTGAACAAAAACGTCTTAATACAGTTATTATTTGTGTTGTAACTGTAGCTTTTTTTGCTTCACAATTTCCTGTACGTATTATTCAATTAATTGATATGTTTTTACATATACGAAATGAAGAAATAATGTCCCATATAACATGGATATGGATATGGAAATTATCAAAATTACTTTTTTTTCTTAATTTTACAGCGAATCCAGTAAGAAAAAAACACTAAATAATAAATAATTTCATGTCCTTTTTTTCTTCAAATAATAGATTATTTATAATATATTATCAACAAAATTCCGTCGTTCGTGTCGACGTCTTTTTCAAATTCATCGCTCAAAAGGTTCTACATCAATTGCATCACGTAAAACAAGTATAACATCATATCTTTATTCAAGTATATATAAGAATCGTCGTCGACAAAGTAGTTTACAGAATAATCAAGTACAATATTCTCAAAATAAAAATCTTCGTTTTCCTTCTCGTCATATGAATAAAAAATTAAGTTTAACACGATCTATTATTGATTCAAATCAAATGATTTCATTAATGAACAATAATAATATTAGTAATAATGGAAAAGAACAAATCAATATCAATGAGAGTGAAAGTCGAGATCTTGTTACTATTGGAAGTAATGAAGAAACTATTTTTCCAACATTAATTAATACAAAACGTTCACCACAAACATTTCAAGTATTAACTGAAGAAGACGATGAAAATATTGTTCATTGATAATTTTATTTTTCTGCATATTTATGTATATATTTGCTTGTGTCTGTAGTTTATTCTGCTTCTTTTAGATTAAAAAGAAAAACATTATATATTATTTAATTAAGAATATTTCTATTTAAATTGTATTGATTGTTTAGATTTTTTTTGCTTATTATTTTTTTAATAAAAAGGTAGTCTCTTTCTTCCATTATTTTGACTTCTGTTAATTACAAATAGGAAAGAAAATCGACTAGTTTTTATATAATCGCAAAAATAGGACAGATGTTTAAAAAGTCAAGGTCAACAAAAGCCATAAGCTATTATGCAATTCCTTGTCGCTTAGTTTTTTGCTGGTAACAATTCGTATAAATCATAAGCAAAATATGAAAATATCTAATCGAATCAATTCGTTTTCTTGTTAATTCATTGATTTCTTTCGTTCTAATATCAGAGAAAAAAACAATTATTAATATGTATGTTATCATATAATAATTCGCAGGAAAAGTATCACCATCTAATCTAAAGAAAAAGCATCGAGTGCGAAGCCAAACGGTGATAACACAATACAGAATACTGCATAGCAAAGTGTTTTATATTTGTACATAAAAGTCTGCGGCATTAATATTAGCTCTAAATATCGTATCTGATGCATATATATCTAAGATCATCGTAGGATCTGTTCAAAAATTCTCACATGTCACGATCATAGACAAGATATCAGTTGTGTTTATCTTTTTTACAAGATTCTGAGTCAAATAAAAAGCGACATTATTAATTTATTTACATTTTTTAAAATTCTTCAAGTATTTGTAACTATTTTTCAAAAATCAATCATATTAACTTGTCAGTCTCATAGATATGCAAGAAATATTGCAACAGTGGGAGTACTTGTCAACCAATGGAATAAAATTTATGAAGATGGACGCGTTTAGAATCGATTTTTACAGGAAAACGATAAAATAAAACGGTTTTCTAGATTTTTGTGTTGATGAAACTTTTAATTTAGACAGACTCTTTGACTAACTTTTGTCTAGATTTAAATATATATATATATATCAGTGTATAACTTATTAGGTAAAAATTTCTTACATACATGATCATCGATTCAATGTCATCATTACCATCTGGTGCCGTTAACTAAAAATCAAATTCGAATGATAAAACAGTATCAGCAACAATAATTATACATTGTCCAACAGCTGGCAATAATGACGAACAAGAACGACAGTTAGAGATATAAAGTTTAATCAATAGGAAAAAAATAGACGCAAATATTAATAAGAGCAGACGAAACCAGGTTTTTTAGCTGTAGTTTTTACTTCATTTCAATTTGTACAAATAGACAATATCTTTTAACTTATAGAAATTGCTCACGCGAACTATACAATTTCTTGAATTCTTGTAGTTCTTTATTATTGTTGTGTTATTTTTGATGAAAATTAAACTTTCCCTAAATGTTCAGATAGATATTTCTCAGTATTGAATAAAGGTTATACAGCAAGATATTGGCTGAAGATCTTGACGATCTTGATTATCAGTATTCAAGATATAGTTATCTGCACTAAAGATAATAAAAGACAAGATGTCAATCTAAAGATATTAGAATATCTGTTACTAAGATATGATTACAGATCTAGGTACAAAATAATATAATCATTTTGTACCTAAATTTTCAAGATCTTGTTTACAAGATGTTTTACTATGGATCGATTTTCGTATGGCGATGATTGATTGCCTTCTTAATATTCATTGCCGATGTAAATCAAAATTTAATTATATATTTACAGTACATAAGAGTTACTAATGTTTGGAATATGTATGTCGAATAGTATGGTTATTAATATGTCATTTCTATGGAACTGCGAGTTTAGTTAGATTGTTTAATAGTGAGACAATCTATTGTTAATTCGAAGATCCGAGATTGCTTCTCATCCGAATTCAATAGATCATTCTGACAGTTACTCATGATCGTTAGTGCATATTATGATGGATGCTTTCTTTCTACTCTGGTTAAACAATCAGATAGAAAGATCTTCCAAGAATCTTATAGTATGATTTAGTGTAAGATTTCTATGTTCACGATTTTTTGTATGATTTTATCTGATCTTACAAGATCTTACATCTGACTTTTTTTGCCTCAGAAGTTTATTTAGTAAATTAGTCTATCAGTCATCAAAAGATATACATATTTCTAATAACCCATTCTGTTTCAATAATCGATTACATCCAGTTCTTCATAGAACATTTAATATATCTTATAGAATTGTGACTTATTTTCACGACCTTAGATCCATAAATAAAATGAAAATAGAAAATTGTTTTCTTACTTGATTAAGGATAACAATTAACATGCATACATATATTCATATAAATAAAAGTCTTTATGAATTGTAGGTGAATTGCTTTTACATAGATTTTTATTCAAAGTGATAAATTATTAATTTTAATTCAAGTAATCGTGAAATGATGTATTCAAAATAAATACTAATCTCGGTTTCAATTTGATTTCATCAGTAAATCATTTACAGTAAACCCTTAAACATAGAAGTTATAGCACATTAGCAGATGTGTACAGAAAATAAATATTTCTGTTATGCCTGTCGCCAACGATCAGTAGTCCGATAAATGACTCATAAATAATCATAACCTACCTACTAAAAAAAACGTACCATACGGAACTGAAAGGATTTCATGGTACTTTATTCTACTTTACAAGGCTTCGATCGAAAATATAAAACCTCTTAATAGTTTAGTGCAATCAAAGGTTCGTTATTAACCTTCTTCAAAAAGGTTTTGTAAAAGACTCTTGTACCAGTGATGATCAAGATTAGTTATAAAGTGATGCTTTCTGTCAGAGCTTCATCTGCGACCGAATAGAGTAAAAACCAATCACTTTTCCGCTACCCATCATATTCTACATTGAGTTTTAGTTTATTTTCTCCATCAATCGTCCGAGATACAAGTCCTGACTATTACGTTCGTGGGTCTTGTTTTAAAACTCAAAATTTCATTTGCAAATGGTGTCATCAGCGTGGTTAAGTGGTGACAATGAACTTCTATTCTACTTCTAAACAGTTATTATCATTCTCAACAAATCAGCAAGTTATTGATACCTATACAAGTTAGTATTTTAAATATGTCGTTGTCAAACTAGTTTTTTGCCAGATATGCTCCAACTCGAAATTGCATCACTTTATAACTAATCNTAGAGAAGGCCTATGGGCACTTGTCCTTTTGGGGTTTTTCATATCTCATTAGGGTCTGTCTTATGTATAGAGTCCGAACTCAAAAGCGGTTAATCACTTCGGACGGTTCCCTCGTTAGCTTATTGCTGCAGAGATACAACACTTTACATTATTTTTTTAAATGAATGTCGTAGCTCCCTTCACAAACACAAAAAATAGATTTTCAAATTTTAACTTGGAATATTGCATAGACACGAACACCTTAACGAGAATAGTTTTTTTGTGGAAGTTTTAAATCTTTTCATTACTCCTATCCTAAGATATAGCGATGGTAAAACTTGTCTTTTATGTTAAGACTGAATTATTTTCATTAATATATTAGTCGTACAAAAAAAAGAATAGTGTGTTTCTTGCATTTTGGAGTCCAATGTAATAATCAATGTATCTTTGAAAAATTACAAATCTTGGTAAACAAGTCTTTAATGTACAACATAATATTTTTATTTGTTTAATTTTTTCGAGCATTTTAACCTCTTTCACAAAAAAATTATCATGAGATTTATTGTTTTTTTTAAGATCTCATACATAAAATAACGAATATTTATTTATTTTTCACGTGATCGTTTATCTACCCAGACGTCACCAAGAAATTTAGCTGTTTGATAAAAATCCCTACATTGTCCATCACCTTGACCTGTAAATCCACCCGATGGAGCGCAAATACGATTGCATGATTTATCATAAAGATCATTAAATTGGTCACAACAATTACTGCTCAATAAATATGTTGGTTTATTATTATATGAATATTTCCTGATTGTAGCTGGTGGATTCCAAACTGGTTCAGCTAAGATACTATCAATCTTCTTTTGAATACATTGTGGAATATTAAATTGTGCCAATGATATTTTCAAATTCAACGCAATTAATAAAACAACCAAAACAATAAAAAATCGCATTTTCTAAAAGGTTATTTAGTCTACAAGAAAAAAAATAAAAAAGTGTTGCGCAGTACATGAGGAAATACAAAATAAAAAATGAAGAGGTATATTTTGAAACTGGTCAATTTTATATTTTTCGTATACACCTTTGTCACCTGTTCTTTCTCTCATATTTCAATGTAATGAAAGGAAAAAAAATGCACTCCTTGTATACTCTGTAATATATTTTTGAATACATTACATTGAATGAATACACTCCGTTTTGTTTCCAATTAATCTAAAAAAAGCGTCAGCTAAAACTTTTTTAGATATTAACTAAACAATAAATATGTTTTTCTATTTCACTAAAAAAAAACAAGCGCTCTCAGGATGTCAAAGGTGTGCAGAACAATACTAGGAAAGAATATCTTTTTTTAAAACTTATTGGATAATAATAAAAGATAGAAGAATAAATTTTAACTGAAACCAATGATTGGCTATCTATAGTGTAAACATATTTTCTTTTGGTTTCGGCTAAAGTTTAAATTTTTTTTATTTATTATAGAAACCCATTCCAGTTACTAGTGACCTCCAGGTGTCAAAAAATGATATTATCATATTGAATGATAATCATACAAATTTTGATTCGTTGTAGATAATATTTGCTATAGAAAAAGAAAGTAACTAAAAAACCATAGAAAAAAATTATTGCAACTGTGTTATGCAATTCTAGTCAGCAAGTGAAAAAAAAATAAAACCGCAATAAAAACATGCTTGACATTATTTCAAAAGGTTATTTTTTTTTTGTTATCAATTATTCTAAATGCAAAAAAGGATCTTCATTACTTTTTAGATAAATTTTAACAATTAGAAATAAAAAAGTAGAAGTCCATTGTTTTGTAATTTTTTTATTAAAATAAAAATGACTCCAAAAGCAAAAAGACCAAGATTATCACGTTCAACTCGGGCTGGTATCATTTTTCCAGTATCACGTGTACATCGTCAACTTAAATCAATGCCAACTGCTACTAAACGAATAACTCAAGGTGCATCCATTTATCTATCAGCTGTCATTGAATATCTCGTTGGTATGTATATCCCCATATATACTAATAAAAGCAAAACAAAAACATCAATAAAAATTCTTTGTCTATAGCTGAACTACTTGAATTAAGTGGTAATGCTGCACGTGATTGTCATCGTAGTCGTATTATACCAAGACATATTTTACTTGCTTATGCAAATGATGATGAATTATATCGAGTACAAAAAAAGAATTCAAGAAACAACAACATTAAATTTGATTTGTTTTGTTTTTTTATTTAGTTACTTCGTAATTGTGTAGTTCCTGAAGCTGGAGTATTGCCGAGTATTAATCTTGCTCTTTTCCCTCATGTTATTGGTCAAACTTCAAATAAATTACCACAATCAAAATCATCAATATCAAGAGGAACAAAAAAAACTGTATCATCAACTGGTACTACTGCTAAAGCAAGTTTTTCTAAGCCGTCTTTAACTAAAAAGGGTCAAGCAAGTTTTAGTATATTGGGTACACCAACATCGAAGGTTTATTTAAGAATAAATTATAATCTATTTAAATTCATATGTAAATATTTAGGCTGCTGCAGTTAAAGATACTGCAGTAACAACACTTTCTGAACGTGTTCTTGTTCGTGGTCAAAAAGTAAATATGATGAATTTAAAATACAGAAAAAAAATGTCTAATAAATATTATTTTAGTTAACTGTTGTTCAAGGAAGTATTGTTAATATTAAAGCTGATGCTATTGTTCATCCAACAAATGATTCATTTTACATGGGTGGTGATGTTGGTATGTATGTTTGAAGAAATTGTTTTTTGTTATTATCAATAAACTTTTTTTTCTAAATTGAAATAATAGGTAAAGCTTTGATTCAAGTAGGAAGACAACAACTTCGAGATGCTGTAACTCAAGCAGCTAAAGATGCAACATTAATAAATGCTGGCGATGGTAAAATGGAATAGTTTTGTCTTTTTTTCTTACACATTGTTTTTTTTCTATCTAGTCACTATAAGTGCTGCACCAAATTTATCTGCTTCACATTTAATTCATGTTTTTTCACCGAAATGGAATGTTGATAGCCAAGAAGAAAGCATTGGAGAACTTGATAAAGCCACTTTAAATATTTTAACTTTAGCTGATCAACAAGGTCTTACATCAGTTGCTATACCAAGTATTAGTAGTGGACGGTATGTATAATTTTGAAATTATACTCGGAAAATTCAATTCTTCTCTATTCTAGTAATGGTTTTCCAAAACAAACGGCTGCACAGACAATTCTTGCTGCTTTATCAAAATTTTTTCGACAAACAGCTACAACAAATCTTCAACACATTTTTTTTGTTTTGTACGATGCTGAAAGTGTTAATGTTTATACAACTGAACTTCAACGTATGGTTGAGTAATAAATATGAATTATAGTTAAGACAAGCAACAGTGATTAATTATTCTATTGACTATAATATACTTTATTTGTTCGTCTCTTTTTTTTGAAACCCGATGTGATAAATTTTCCTGTAAACCAATACTTTATTTTTTAGTTTGTTTTTGTATATTTTCTGCTTTTATTGTTTTAATATATATACACCCTATATCGTGTAGTTATTTAAACCAGAAATAAATTTTATTTGAAAAAAAAAAAAAAACATTTTATTATTCATATTATTCTTATTCTAGAAAATAAAATGGCAGAAGGTGAATCGAAACTGATTGATATACAAGATAATTTTTTTCTTCATGGTGATTCATCTAAGCAATATATTGTTAAATTGTCAACAAACTGTCTTTCGATTTATTTACAAAATAATGAAAATCAAGAACGATCAGCATTAGATAATAATACACAATTGATACCAATTGATGATATTTATGGATGTTTATGTATGAAAGATAATAAAAATCCAATACAATGCCATTTAAACTTATATTTATATTCATTACAACAAGCAAAAGGTATTGGTGGATCATTTTCAAAAAAAACAAGTTTACAACGTTCACAATTCTTATTGACATATGCTAAATTTAATGACTATGAAAGTAATTTAGCTGCTGCTACACGATGGCATTATTATATAACAACTGCTATTTATTTACGACGAAATCTTCCTCGTAAGTTTTGTAAAAAAAAAATTTATTTTGGAAATAACTGAATATTGTTTTTTTTTAAATGTTACAGCTGAAATTGTGACGGCAAAACGTGATAAACGTGCTCTTGTTTTCGTGAATCCAGCTGGCGGTGCTGGTAAAGCGTATCGTCATGTTATGGAACATGTTATTGGTGTATGGAGTGAAGCAGAATTTACTTATCATATCATTATGACAGGTTTGAAAAGAAAATAGAATAATATTTGATCCAAATATACTTTGGACGAACGTTATTATGAGAAACTTAATACGTTATAAATTCACGAATGACATTAAAAGTTTCAATAGCAATTGAATCTTACAATCTAACTATCAATAGCATTTTATTAATTCTCATTTATAAATTTTATCAATTAATCTCATGTTTTAACATCTAGTTTGAATTATCTCACATATTTGAGCGATTGAAATGAAAAAGATCCGAGATTAAGGGAAGAAGAATAATCTTCTATACTTTCGAGTTCTTATGTATATGTGACAGTACTGTTTAATTTACTGATGATTGTGAAATAGCTAAGAGATGTTCTATTTTAATTTATCGATCAATTTGATATTATAGAATATGCTGGTCATGCTCGGGATTATGTACACAGCATACAAATTTCTGATTGGAGTGGTATTGTTGTAGCATCTGGTGATGGACTTATTTATGAAGTAAATAACTTTATATGTTCTATTAAGTTTCTGTTTTTCTATGATTTCTATGTATTAAAGGTTATAAATGGACTGATGAATAGACAGGATTGGCAAGAAGCTCTTAAATTACCTATTGGACATTTGCCTTGCGGATCCGGCAATGCATTCATAACAAATATTATACGTTATAGCCAGTAAGTAAGATATTAATTGTAATTTATGATTTTGTCATATAATGAATCAATTATTTTAATAGTTATTAAATTTTTATTTAGACAACCAATTATGAAAACAATGGAAAAATTTATTGTTCAAGCTGCTGTACTTATTGCTACACATAATGTGCTTCCATTTGACATGGCTGTGGTCGATATCTGCGATGGACAACGATATTTTTCTTTTCTTTGTATTGAATGGGCTATTGTTGCTGATGTTGACTGTGATAGCGAAAAGTATCGTTTTCTAGGTAATTAAAAATAAAACTATGAAATTTCGCATTTTTTTTTATCACGAGTTTGTTATTATTTAGGTGGAGCTCGATTTACAGTCGAAGCCATCAAACGCATTATTCGTAAGTAAATTTGTTTTTCTATCAACGGAAGAAAACTGCATACATTCGTACTTCCGGAATATACAGAAGCACAGAAAAACGAAGTATTTTCTGTGAGACCATTATAGTTATTGTACAACAAGTAATTAAGAAAACAATTACAGGAGCACGCAGACATACGGAGAAGTACGATGAAGTTTGAACTAGTTTTTTTTTATTCAAGTTTTCTCTGTCGATTGAGTGATCCAAACTTCGGAAGGACGCACCCAATCTCTATGCTACATAAGATAGTGATTTGGAGAACTACAGGGCTGATCCAGACACAAGACGACTTTTCTGTCCTATCCTGCTGTCTCACTTCTTTCTGGCGAGCGGTAGGACAGGACATAAATTATAGTTTTGTCCTTTCCTATACCCAGCTCTGTTACATCGAGCTACGAAGAAAGCTGAGAAAAAAATCTGTTCTTTTCAGATTAGAAAATCGAATCTATGGAGTTCATGTTTAATTCAATATTTTTCTTACTAGTAAACAAAACCTATTTTTTTGTGTATGATTTAGAACCTCGCACTTATAATGGTTATATTGATTATATTCCACATGAGGATAGTGATGATACAGTAAACGCAAATCAGATAACACCAAATACAACAACGGCTCAAATTCATCAACATCTATTACCGCTCAATGAACCTATTCCAACTGATTCAACAACAACTAAATGGCGTCGTATCAATGGTCCATTTATTCATGTATTAGTCACATCCAAAGCTGCAATGGCAAAAGATACTTTAGCATCACCGAAATCAACATTATCTGATGGTTATTTAACATTACAATATATACGTGCTGATGATTCAATACGTATGAATCTTGCTAAAACATTTTCAACAATGTCTGATGGAAAACATCTTGATTATGATTTTGTTGAATGGATGCCTATACGTGCATTTCGAATCGTACCAAATGACTCAAGTGGAAATATGATGATCGATGGAGAAAAAGTTGCTTATGGTAAACAGAAATTAACATATCTTTACAATAGCATATGATTTTTTTTTCTCATTAGGTCCTATTCAAGCTGAAATTTTACCGAGTTTAGGTCGTTGTATGGGTAAACAACCAAAAGCTGCTCAAGTGCCAATAAATCCATAAAACTATTTCCTTTATACCTCAGATAAAATATCATTCGTAATACTGAAGAGAAACAAACCGTACAAAAACAAATATTCGCATATTGTTTTTTCTTTTTTTTAAACTATTTATTATTATTCAATTATATAATTAAGCATAAAAGAAACAAAGATATTTTGAAACTACATTTTGATAATAATATACTCGAAATTTAGTATTCTTTTATATATTGTTATTGAAAAATACATGCCTTCCGTTTTTTTTTTTGTTTTTTTTTTTTTTTCTATTTGAACAATTAATTGTACAACAATTTTATTAAATACAGCAAAAAAAACATTTTTTTTTGCCAATAAAATATCACAGTTTAAATACTTAAATCAATTCGAATTGGAAAATGAATATCTTGAAAATTTAATGTCAATTGATTACTTGTTATATTCCATCGAATATTATGATTATCAGTTATACAAAGAATATTTTCATAAGAATAAGGACAAATCAAATGTATTGCATATTGATCAATTGTAAAATCAAATGGATAACTTCCTCGAACAAGAATATTTCGTAATCGAATATTTTTTGTTGATGGTGTTAGAACACCTAATAATGGATCAAATAAAAGACTTTTTTCATCATAACGAAGACCAACATAACCCATCATGACTGATTGAATAAAACCACCATCACCCGTAAGAAAATGAGTACTTAACAAAAAGAAAAGGAAAAATCAAATTTAAATTGTTATTTAAAACTATAAATCAATCAATGTAAGAAAATACTCAATATCGATTTTCTTGGTAATGCGTAAAACTTTCAACGTTGCTCAGATGACTGAAGATATAAAAAAAAGTACTTCGAAAGTGTTGAAACTCTAAGAATAAGTTTTCGTATGACTAAATTTACTATATTTCATGCTTCCACGAAGAAAATTGGTATTTTATGTTGCTCTGATCAGCACTGTTAAGCTTATTTTAACCCTAAAGTTCAGCAAACTGCTTATAGAAAAAAGAGAATTTTATTATTTTATTCGGATAAAAATTACGGACAGATATTGATTTTGATTTGAACCTAACAGATTTTTGTAGCTCTTTATTATTGAATTGAAATTTTCACTAACAGAATTTCTTACAAGAGTTACTCATCCCTAAAAATTTCAGTTTAAGCAGACCGTATTAGGTTAGAATCTTTGAAAGTTAATTACTATATATTGTATTTGTCAGAATAAAGAAGTAACTATGAAACGGTAAAAGTTCAACGTCATTAAAGAAAAATCTCTACAGGACTCGCTCGAATAAACATAGGTCTCAATGCTATTTCAACTGAGCCATCCTTGTAATTCTTTACATACTTAAATCCATGTCCTCCAATGATATCAGCATGAATATCGACCTTTATAAACAACCGAAGTTACATCATATATTTCAAAATAAAATAACAAACCTCATTTCTAACATGAAATTCTCCATATGTACATGCTTGTAAAGATCGATTAAATTCTCGTTCGGCTTTTAATGGTTCATTTAGCATAAGCCATACAATTGTATGAATAGGAGCAGTCATACCTGCATTTTCTTGACATGTTATTGGAATATATGTTTCAGCATCATTTCGTATTATTTCTGGTGTAACATTGAAATTCATTGGATAAGTCAAATATAGAACATCTTAACAAGCAAAAATCAATACTAAATAGAAAAATATTCTTCTACCTTCTGGACAAACATAATTATGTGGTGATGGTGTTAGAGAAGCTACAAATTAAAATATTTTTTGTTTTCTATTTAATAAACATGTATATGTCTTTTTTATTGTGTTACCATTATCCCATTGAATATGTGTTTGTGTTGTATAATTAAAATTAATCTTAAGTTTTTTTGCAATTATGTCCCATTCTGGATCAACATCAAATTTAAACATATCTCCAACTTGTTTTGCTAATTGTAATGATACAATAGCAACAGCATTTGTTTGTATAGCATTATTAATACCAATATCACCACATTTCGTTTGAACATTATCACACCATTCATCAACAGGCATTACTTTTTCAATTGAATATGTCGTATCATTTGTTTTTGTTACACGACTAGACCAAAATTTTGCTATATCACGTAATAATGGCCAACCAATATTTTCTAACCAAAGATTATCTTTTGTAGCATAATAATACATTTGTACAGCTACTGCCACATCACCTGTTATATGTTGTTCAATACAAAGTTCCCAACCACCTTTACCATCACAACAGCCCTAAATGAGATGTATAGTCAAAAAAAAAACTTTTCATTTGATTTCGCTTTTTTTTTACTTCTGGTCGACCTAAGTATGATCTTAAAAAGAAATGAAATTATTTTGCTTTTTTTTGTTTTCTAATAAATACATACGCAGTCCATGCAAACATTGATCCATTATAACCAAATATACGTGCAATTTTATTTGATTCATCTAAACTATTATATCGATAACGAAGTATATTTGCTGCACGTGATGGATAAAAAGGGAGAAGAGCTGGCATCATATACCTTGATAAATAAATTAAAATATATATTAAAATAAAATAAACATAATACTTACCAATCCATGTCAAAAAACATTAGACCAGAGTAAGACTGTGATGCTAATCCTCCAGGACTCATACCATGTCTAAAAATATAATTTTATATATAAGCATTACATGCATGCTTTGTTATATACAGATTGAGTCATAAATAGCACTACGATAAAAAAAAGAAATGAAATATTTTCGCGTCGATTCTTCAGTTTAGTGATCTGCAACTGACCTGACTTGGATATGATCTCATGGCTTGACTCGACCCAACAATAAATGAAATCTGGACTTTTCAAAATACTTTTATTTTTTCAAACTACTAATTTATACAAAAGCTTAGAAATGAAAACCTGAGAAATTTATCGTACCATGATGATAAGCCATATGACGAAGTAATTAAATAAATGGTGAGGAAAATAAATTATCAAAAAGATGACTATGTATTATAGTGATGGAAAAAACTTTTGTATATGCATCCACAATTATGATGTTTGACACCAACATTACGATCCATTCCAGCGTCATCAGCAACAAGGAAATTTCTATTTAGCAAAATTCATCGAATTTTAGAAGCAGAAAAACACTTACTGAATCCTGAATTACTTGCTATTTTTTGGAATTTGAGATGATCTCATTTTTTCTTGTTGATGCCTATGGAATATTGAAACGTTTTTTGGCATAAGCTTAACGTACACAAAACTAATGTTAAGTATTATTTTTGTCTTCGCCAAAAGAATTTTACCTATTGTCAAGTAAGCAAAATACATATGAAGCGTTTTTACAGATCTGATTCAGTTATCATCTAACCGATTAAGAAGACATCAAAATGAATTATATTGATGTGTATAGAGAGAATTATCAGGACAAATTAAGTTAAAGTCAATGATTACGAAATTTCAAATATTGACCACTGGTTTTCGCAAGGAAGTTAGTGTCTTGATGTTTAAATGGGTTCAATAGTGCGTTTCACTTATTAGGTATGAATGTCAGTAGACAGACTAAAATTCTTTTGAAAATTTGCTGTGTGTGTATCATTATAGTATCATTTAGAAATTTCGTTGTGACTTGTTATTATTCTCCCAGCTGACAACTGAAAATGATTTATAAAATACTTCATATGTATTTTCCTTACTTGACAGAAGTATTTTGGTTTTTAAACTATTCGTATGGAAAAAATGGCCTATTCAAGAAAATTGAAGAAGAGATATTTCAATTTTTTATCATAATGGTATTTATGGGTCACTCCATATATGTACATTTATACTTACGGCCAATCATCACGTGAGCTAGATAATAAATAATACATTGAACTATTAACATGTTGAGCAATATCTAATGCACGTGAAAATGTTGTTATAACTGTATCATTTTCACCATCTTTATCTGTATCGAATATAATTCTTGGTAATACAAATGGTTGATTTTCCATTGGTTCAATATCAATACCAGATTTCCATAGGTTTTTCCATGCTTGAACATGTTCATTTAATAAATCATTTCGTTTAGTTAAAGCTTCATCAAATCGATTTATTGCTTCAAGTGTTACTGCTATTTGATCAATTGGATCTGGTCCAAAATCAATACTACTTGCTAATGTTGAAACAAATTGTATTGATGATGACATTGTTAATGTTTGTATTGATTCATTTGGTTGTTGTGTACATATTGTTACATAAACATATCGATTACGATCATCGCGACTTAATAAAACACCTTCATAAACATACATTGATGATGTTGATAAATTTGAATTAAATGTAAATTCAACATCGATTTCAACTCCACCACCACCTGTACATGTTGTTTCAGGATTATGTGTTTGATTAAGTGGATCAAAAGTTGACGCATAAGAAAATGTAACAAATTTTGAAGTAGATGAAATAAGAGTAAATTCTAGAACCATTACACTTTTTAGCTAAAATTTAAAAACAAATCTAGTGAATAGTTTCTTTTTTGAATTCGGAAAAATAATTCTCTCTGCTAGATTTTCATCATATGAACGTATGAGCATTTTATATGCGTAACTAAAAACATTGTAAACCAACCATTAAACGAAGCTTTACAAAAGTTCCCATAGATCCACGAAAAATGCAATTTATTTCGTTTTACTTTTATGCTTACATGCCATTAAAATCTGTTAGAATACTTTAGTTCCTTTAAATCACCTTAGTACTTTTAGTGCCTGTAGTTCTTTTAGGCCCCTTCAGTTTCTTTAGGTCCCTTTAGTATGTGAGTGTTGTTTGAGTAGAGTTCTATTCACATCCACACCCCACCCTAAAGTGATGTAATGGGACTAAAAGGGATCCATAGGGACTAAAAGAACTAAAGGGATAGCTTGAAGGATCTAAAAGTAAAACGGAATAAATTTTATTTTTCGTGGATCCCTCCTTTGTCCTGAATGTTTTAATTCCGGTTCTAGCTAAGTGTTGAACACTTTTAATGTGCTCCTTATTAACAATGAAACTCGCTTTCGCAAAAAAATTGTTTTCTCTTGCAAATTTGAATTCTTACCGTTTGACTAATATAAACTCTATGTTCAACTATTGAACCAATTTGATCATCAAATTGATATCGACGTGTAAATAATGCTTTTTGAAAATGTAAACCACTAGCAATAAGTTGACCTGTTGTAATCGAACCACCAATAGGTGATGGTAATCTTGCTTTTCCAACATTTCCACACTGCAATTAGAAACAAAAATCTAGGAAACCTTTACCTCCCATAACAGTTCTGGAAGAGTTACTAATAAGACAACTATTGAAATAAGTTATTAGTCTCTTTAGTAGACGAATTGTATAGACAGATCGACTACGTTCGCTTCTCTTTGTGTAAGGTAACTTAGCAACTTCGATGTTGCCTTTGGAGGGTAACAACATGAAAACTTCTATTTTTTATCTTTCGTGAGTAGATTGTGGGTGTGAGTGCTAGTGAAGTGAAGATCTTCATTTATCATGCCTACATTCATCTAGAGAAGCTTTGTATATATGAGAACAAGAGAAAACAATCACAGAGAGATAGATGTTGAGCTACTGGACGGATGCCACCACTAAATATTTATATAACAACAATTGATGATGCTTGTTGTTCTGAATAACGGCAATCTGCTGATTTATCTATGCGTAAACATTAACAAGTATTATGTTTGGATAAGAATTTAAAAAAAACTGTTTTGCACGTTTTTACTCCCCAATGGCAACTTCTGCTGCCATTTTACATCGTACAATCTCTTGTAGAACTAATTCATGTGAAAATTTTGCAAGGCATTTTATTTAAAATTAGCAACTTTAGTTGATATTTATCACTTAACCCATTATCTAAATATACATTTCGCATTGGTAAGAAGAAAATTTTAAAAAGAAAATTTCTTTCTTTTAATAATCTCATTGTTATCTCTGTTCTAAGTTTTATGTCATAAAGACAGAACAATGAAACCAGATGTTTTCTTTTGGTAACTGGTAGCTTAGGGAATTTTTCCTACACATCATGTGTATAAAGGTTTTCAATATCCAGTATTCTGCATTTTCTGCAATGTTTCTAAAAATAACAATTCGAATTGCTAATGGGGGGGGGGGGGGGGGGGGGAAGGGAAAGAATATTCAAGTTTGTTGTTTTTTTTTTTTTTTTTTTTTTTTTTTTTTTTCCGTTGTGTAATCTTTTTTTGTAGAATNTGAATCTGGAAGAAACCATCAGAACAAGTTAATAGGAATTCGTTCTTACAGTTTTTGTAGAGCTCTTCACGGAGCATCTATAAAAAAAAGACCAAGAATTTATCATTTGATTGTGCAGAGATATTCGTAAAATAAACTATGTTCCGAAAACTTTTCATTCTATCAGACCTTGTAGAGATTGTTTCATTGATCATTTTGGTATAAAATCATGTAGAGATTCATTGAGAAATGATGGTGTTATAGTCAAAATATTAGGTACTCTAAAATTCCTAGTGCTCTAAAATGTTGATAACATAGTTTATTTTACGAATATCTCTGCACAATCAAATGATAAATTCTTGGTCTTTTTTTTATAGATGCTCCGTGAAGAGCTCTACAAAAACTGTAAGAACGAATTCCTATTAACTTGTTCTGATGGTTTCTTCCAGATTCAAAAGGAAAAAAAAACATACGTGATAGTGCTACTTACCGGCGTATTTAACATAATAAAAGTGTTGGAAAGACTTATATTTTGCATGTATCTCGGCTAAAGGAAATGATAGCATCTTGATTTTTTTTCAAAAAATGCGCCTTCGAAAGTTCTATCAAAGCCGTAAAAATCGTATAAACAAATGCTTTTTGTAAAACAAAGCAGTATCAAACATTCTTATTATCATCTTGTGAATTTTTATGTCATTTGTTTTCTTAACACTGAAGTTTGTTTTTTTTATTGTATTTTATCTTCAAGAGTTTTTTATTTTAAATAGGCTTCTATATATAGCACTTGATCTCTGCAATACAGACACATAATGGAATTAAATTAATATTGTGTAGTTTTAAAATATGACTCAAAACAAAAAAATGGCGAAATACTTTTGACGGCCACTGTAATATGTTCCATATAAAGTTCACATTTTTTGCCTACTAACTGAAGAGATATTTACAGAATATTTCATTTAACCAAAATGTATTTGACGATCATATAAACATTTCAACTTATAATATACTTCTTATAACACATACAATTTATTAATATAAACTAATGATTAAAGCAATACACAATAATATATAGATAATAAACTACAATCTAGTTACATCGACAATTGACTTATTATTATACAAGAAATATTAATATCGAATATGTTATAATATTCTTTTATCAACCACGTTTGAATAAGCTTTACATATGTTTACAGGAAATATAACAGCAATTTAGACGGTACTAATTGGTTGTTCAGTTAAATCAATTGGTACATGATGATTAAACTTAAATTTGATCAATAGTTTCATACCCAATTTGAATTTTTTCTTCATAAGTTGTTCGTATTGTTTCTTAGAATTAGAAGTATAAAAATATAGAACCGAGAATTAATATTAAAATAAAAAGCTANCTCATACCGGTGAAATTCCGGTTTCATCCGGCCCGGTTGGCTTTTTCAACCGGTCCGGTACCGGTCCGGTCCGGTCCGGCCGGACCGGTACCGGTTTGCCGGACCGGTTCCAGCTCTGGTTCGAAAATTGCTCCTATCGTCACATATCAAATTGTTTTCTATGATGAAGTTGATCTACGTACTTGTTCGACTAAAGGGTGTATTGCCATTTTTTTTTTATCAAATTCAACTTCAAAAATTCCTTCTTTTCACTTTATATACTATCGATTGTTTTTTTTTTTTTTGTTAACATTTGATGAATTTTTTTCTAACGACTCAACCAATGAAATACAATATTGTTCATATCGTCAAGAAAAGACAATCGTTATACATACAATTCGTCGACGAACATGACCTCCTTTAGACTGAAAATCAGTCCATGATGAATAAAGATCATTGAACAATGCCATGAATTATAATTACACAATATTAGAAAAAATTGTATTGAATGACGTTGAATACTTGAAAGAGAGAAACGATTGAAGCATTAATAACGTAGGTTAAATATTGATTTCTTTAGATAAAATGATTTTGCCTGTCTAGGAAAACAAACACATGTCATCTCTCTTTTATTTTCTCTGGCTAAGAAACATGCATTTATTTATGTCAGCAACCGTTTCTCTTCGAATTTTCTTTATTTTCTCAAAATATACCGTAAATAGATAGGCGAGATGAACAGGCGAAAAGGATGCAAGGTATATCGCATCGACTATTAGCATAAGTGAAAAAAAAGCTGATTTACTTCTATTCGAACATTAAGAATGTTCACGTGTATAGTTTATTTTATCTATTTCATGTCATGAAAATAAATCCACACGCACTGTTTTACATTTTATAGATCAAATCAAATATTTTTCTATCAGTCATATCTCGAATAAATATGGTTTTGCTTGTTTTATTCATTTCTGATTTTTTATTCAGTTATTTCGTCTGAAATAATATGATAGAGATTCCACAAGATGTCTTCAACAATGTGGAAGAGATGTTGTTGATCTTGTTCAATTAACAGTTAATATATCTCCATCTTATAGAAATGAAACTTTACCATCGATAAAAAGATCCAAATGAATCGTTAGAAACGATTGTAAATCATAGGTGCTAATATTTGGTTTAGATTATCTGATAGATACCGTCCATTTCATTTTATAATTAAAAACGATCATAAAATAATTTTTATGTTTTCCTATTAAATTATTTGTCAATATCAAAGTAATTGTTATCACATAAGAATACGAAAACAAGGCTTCTACTTATCAAGTTGATCAGTAGATTTTCATGAATGATATTCTTTCTTTCTTTTTGTTTGTTATTTTAATGGTAGAAATTTTGTATATGAATATGAACACATATGGATGATTCAACAAGTTTAAATAGTTTGATTTCAGAAAGACAAGACAATTGACTTAGAAGAAAAACGCTAATACTATTCCGAATATGGTATAAAAATTCGTCGGATTGAAAAATTTTCGAAGCTGTTCGAATCTTATCCAATGAATTTTACTCTGTGATGATCTATCTCTCTTAACAGTCATTCTGAATTCGCTGCTGGTTTCGATCTATCGAAGGATAAATCTTGCAATACTTTTAGACCTCTTGAGGGTGTGGGTGTGGGTAAAGCTCTACTTTTTAGCAACACCGACACCCACATCCACACCCACTCCATGCACACACTCACATCCACACCCACCGCACTCTATACCCATACCCTTACTCTTGCACGAGTGTTCTGAGGAGATAGAAGGACGGAGGCAAGTTCCCTTGGCACAGTTACCATAAATTTTATATATTTCGGTCGAAAATTTTACAAAATTTCTGACAAATTATAAAAATGATTTTCTTTTTCTCATTCGAAACAGTCAGTACAATATATGAATTTTTCAGGGTGTGGATGTAGTTATGCATCTTACTTTCATTCAATTTACACACCCACACACCCATGTCAACTTATACATCGGTGTTTTTTTTTCTTATTAAAATAATTAAAATGAAAACATTCGATCAAGTCTGTTCTTAAAAAGACGCACATATTATTTATATAAAACTTTATTTTAGATGTTTTTCTTTGAGGTTTTAATCGACCATTAAAAAAAGTGTTAAATTTTATTTTTATCTCAAATAAACAGTTATTTTCAATGTTTTTCAATAGTCAATATTTTGAATTTAGGATTTTAAGAAAATATGTTTTTTTATTTTGGAAAATTTGTATATACGAAAAAATATATTTAGATCTGATTTATCTCTCAAAAGGCCATCAGATAGATATTCTAAGATGACTACTTCGAAAGTGAATTATGAAAAACTTTTCTATTGAACAATACAGATTTTGTTTGTTAGTACCTTTGCCATACGAAGCACATTAATATTTACTCATTACTTTTCATAGATTGAACATGGTTGATGTTCTCTAATCACTTGCAGATCTTAATCAACGATTTTATCAGAATTCATCAGTCGATACTCAATTTGTTCGAAAATTTTCCCTCGAATTCATTATCAAATACAGAAAATCAACATTGAACAATTTTCGATGACACAAATTCTTCGTGTTTGAAATTAAATACTTAATCAATATTTAACAGATTTATTTTGTCTAAAAGATTGACAAAAAAAACAATTAACACTATACCTTCCAACTTTAATCAAATTGAAAATAAATGTCGGGAATTAATGTTGAACAATTTTTTCATTCATATGAAACTATCGACTCAACAGTAAGAGTATAATTTCAATGATTGTGTTTACAAGAAAATAACACTAAACTAAATTGATATACTTTCCATTCACCATACATATAGTTATATTTATTTTCAAGGTGATATCTTTCACAAAAGATCAATCAGAAAACTCATTTTCCACATTAATTATTTTAATTGACCCATGTATACATTTTTAAATTTTTGACGCGTCCTCGAGCGTTTGCCAGCAATGTAACTTCACGCGTATCGATGCGTCCAAAATGCAATATTTTCGTGTGTTCTTACGCGACAGCAGTTTGAAACGCAGACAAACGTGTTTAAGCTTGTGCTGTGTTGGGATGCGTCTAAAATGCAATATTGTTGGGTGTGGGTGTGAATGTTCCACTCATGCATTGACAAACATCCACACCCTCATGCGCCTATTCGGCAGGGGAATAGTTCTGAAGATGATGCCAATCTGGGTGTTAGTAATGCTTTTGTTAATGATCATGATGCAGGTTGTGTAGATCCGATTCGATTGTGGGTGTACGGACATGGGTGTGGGTGTGAAGAGAAGACCCACACCCACACCACCCACACCCTCATGTTATTTTCAAATGAGGCATATGAAGTTACACTTGTTAGATCGAATTATGGTTCGAATAAACATAAAAATTTGTATTTTGTAATAGATTGAAAAAGTAGTCAAAATGAAGTTATTTTTGAATTTTCATAGAGCTTTCGGGTACACCGACTCATCATCAGTATATTAAGTTTCTATGATTAGTAAATGATGTTATTGATATAGCCTATGTATATTTCAGTATTTAATAAAATTGGAAGATTTGTCATAGGACTTGTAATCGATTATCGGAGTAGATAAGGAAGACTGAAGTATACATAGGCAATAAAGGTAACATCATTTACTAATCATAGAAACTTAACATACTGATGATGGGTCAGTGTACCCGTAAGCTCTATGAAAATTCAAAAATAACTTCATTTTGACTACTTTTTCAATCTATTATGAATTACAAGTCCGATGACAAATCTTCCAATTTTGTATTTTGTTATTACATATATTAAATATGCGATAAACCTGTTAACACTTGGTTTTTTATTAAAGAAAAATATATTACATTTTTCTAGATTAATCATATTTGTGTTCTCTTGTTTTCTCGACCAATCATTCAATCAAAACCTCCTGTTCTATATGTAATATATGAATCAGTTTTATTTGACCCTTTTGATAAATCGACTATATATTTAAAAGATTTTTCTTTCGAGCATGACATGATAATAAAAGAAAGAAATGTATTCATGGTTGGGGAACCCCGATGACTACACACTCTTTGACATCATTAGCTCGAAAAATCTGCGAAGCGTGTCAAAATTTATATGACGTTTTTCTCTTCTTTATCGCTGATTCATTCTTCCTCCTTCTGCACATATATAAATATATAAATATATTTATTTAAAAAGAAAATACAACATAGACACAAATCTTAAGGTAATTTTAACATTATTGAATATGTCGAATATAATAAAGAAAGAGTCCATGACGCAAATGAATTACAAAGTAATTCAGATTTATAGATTCCGAGTTCAAGCTTCAATAGCTTTTCTAGTTTCTATGGGATTCCATGGGATGACTATGGAATTCCGTGAAATACCTATGGGTTCGCTATGGGATTCCATAACTATCCCATGGAATTCCATAGCAATTCCATGGCTATCCTATGGAATCCCATAGAATCCCATGGAATCTCACAGCTATTCCATGCAATCCCATAGAAGTTCCATAGAAATCCCATAGCTATCCCATACAAATCCCATAGCTATCAGGATCTATTAGGGTATCAGATAATCCGCCCTATATGTGTGTTTCCGGCCTCACTCTCAGTTATGGGATGTGTCCTTTGTGTGTGTATGTGTTTGTGTTTCCGCCCTCATCCTCTATACATATACCTATATAAATATATCTTTATATATAAAGCATATATAAAATATAGAAATTTTGAATTATTTTGTAATTCATTTTTTCTTGAATTACTTTGGAATTCATTTACGTCATTCAGTGTAAAGAAAAGATGGAAAAGTAAATTACAAGAATATTGTCAAAAGAATGATCTTCAACTACCTACTTATCAAATAAAAAATCAATCAGGTCCTGCACATTAAATGAAGTTTCAGGTAAGTATATCACTCAACTCAATCACAATCAAAATTTACTGTTATACATATAATATAGATATATTTTTTTGCTTTTTAACTGATCCATATTTATCAAATATAATTGTATAAATTTATATTTAGGTTGAAGTCAAAGTCAATGGACAATGGTATATGGGTGATGCCAATTGTTCATCGAAGAAAGAAGCAGAACATTCAACAGCTCATAAGGCATGTATTAATCTCATTGGAAGCAATTCGGAATCTGAAAGTGATGAATCAAATAAACACATGCCAGAAGTATCCAATGATATTGAACAGTTCATAGTTAAGATGATCGAAAGTTATGGTGGTCGAATTCGAAAAGTTCGAGAACCTGATACACGTGGAATATATAGATTAGAAATTACTGGTGATTATCATTATTGTGAAAATGTTAAACCGCATCATAAAAAAATCAAATATACTTTCTTGTCGATTTGATTAAGAAAATTTATTACCAAAAATGTTATGATCCTGATTGTTACGGTTTTCAATCAGTAAAACGAAAGATTTTTACTCAATAGATTGAATATCCTCCACAAAAAACTACTTCTTTTGACAAATGATTAATTCAATCGAACTAGTTATGTCTATTTTGTTGTAATCTTAAACTTTTCTTTTTAAGTAATTTAATTGATAATCGTTATATGTTGCTTATATAGATCTGATTGTTTAGTATTTTCCTTTCAAGTATATATTCGTCCTGTGGACAGGTCATTTAATATCAGACTATATTACAATCGACGATATTATTTAAAAACAATGTCAAAGTTTATTATTAAATGAAAGTTTCTTCTAATAACGAACATATAAATGTTAGAAGTTTTGATTACTAAAACGGCAGAACTTCATCATGATCCATATTGAAACTCATTCGGTTAAAACATACATGAAATTCTCTGTTCTTCTATTGTTGGAATTTTGTTTCTGAAAGAGGCTTTATGTCCCATGAATTGTAAATAGAACGTTAACTGGAACGACTCTCTAATTTTATCGAAGTAAATACAGTGGACGTCAAAAGTATTTCGCCACTTTTTTGTTTTGAGTCATATTTTAAAACTACACAATATTGATTTAATTCCACTATACGTCTATACAATATAGATGGAGTGCTATGTATAGGTACCTGTTTAATATAAAAAACTCTTGAATATAAAATACAATAAAAAAATCAAACTTCAGTGCTGAGAAAAAAATGACATAAAAATTCGCAAAATTAGATTTTTGTTATAGGATACTTTGATGAACAATCAATCATCAAAAATACATATGTTCCAAAAACTTTTCATTATACCAGACCTTGTGGAAATTTTTTCATTGATCATTTCGGTATAAAATCATGTAGAGATTCATTGAGAAATGGTGGTGTAATAGTCAAAATATTAAGTACTCTGAAATGTTGATAACATTGTTTATTTTGCGAATATCTCTGCACAATCAAATGATAAATTCTTGATCTTTTTTTTAAAGATGCTCCGTGAAGAGCTCTACAAAAACTGTAAGAACAAATTCCTATTAACTTGTTCTGATGGTTTCTTCCAGATTCAAAATGAAAAAAAAACATACATGATAGTGCTACTTACCGGCGTATTTAACATAATAAAAATGTTGGAAAGACTTTTATATGTTGCATATATCTCGGCTAAAGAAAATGATAGCATCTTGATTTTTTTTTCAAAAAATCCGCCTTCGAAAGTTCTATCAAAGTCGTAAAAATCGTATAAACAAATGCTTATTGTAAAACAAAGCAGTATCAAACATTCTTATTATCATCTTGTGAATTTTTATGTCATTTTTTTTCTTAACACTGAAGTTTGGTTTTTTTATTGTATTTTATATTCAAGAGTTTTTTATATTAAATAGGTTTCTATAAATAGCACTTGATCTCTGCCATACAGACATATAATGGAGTTAAATTAATATTGTGTAGTTTTAAAATATGACTCAAAACAAAAAAGTGATGAAATACTTTTGACGGCCACTGTAATATGTTCCATATAAAGTTCACATTTTTTGCCTACTACCTGAAGAGATATTTACAGAATATTTCATTTAACCAAAATGTATTTGACGATCATATAAGCATTTCAACTTATAATATATGTCTTATAACATATACAATTTATTAATATAAATTAATGATTAAAACAATACACAATAATATATAGATAATAAACTATAATCTAGTTACATCGACAATTGACTTATTATTATACAAGAAATATTAATATCGAATATGTTATAATATTCTTTTATCAGCGACGCTTGAATAAGCTTTACATATGTTTACAGGAAATATAACAGCAATTTAGACGGTACTAATTGGTTGTTCAGTTAAATCAATTGGTACATGATGATTAAACTTAAATTTGATCAATAGTTTCATACCCAATTTGAATTTTTTCTTCATAAGTTGTTCGTATTGTTTCTTAGAATTAGAAGTATAAAAATATAGAACCGAGAATTAATATTAAAATAAAAAGCTAAAAATACCGAAGCGAACTATGAGATTTTCTCGATTTGAACGATTTTATCATATTATCTTACATAATAATGACTATTCTAATCCTTATCGTCCAGAGATGCGCAAGTCAGAGGTTTTTAGCGGCAAGTCAAGCCAAGTCAAATCACCGAGTTTTCAAGTCAAGTCAAACACAAAAATGGCTATTCATTCTCATCTAGACAATACTTATCTGACGTGCATAAAACTACATCGTTTTCTTTGTTTTTATTATAGCAACTAACATTAGTTTAGACAAGAATCAGAGGTATAAATCATAAAAAAATACCCATTTTTTTGACTTGACTTGACTTGCCCATCTTTGTTATCGTCTCTACATCTATTAAGGTACTTCGTTGTTGAAACTAATCTAAAAAAAGTTATTAGCTCATTCAACTTAGATGTTCGTCAACAGAGAGAGTTGATAAACATCTACAGAAGCCTCCTACTAAATAGTTTGATCGATTCTTCTAATGAAAAATCTCTTACCTACAGTCAGCTGATGAAAAAAGTTTCATAAGTAGAGAATCATAGAATTAAGATCGACAAGCATAAAAGTATTTTCTTAATTCGTCTTTATTAGATACGTATGAATTATTCGAAACGGGTAAATCGAAAGTCAATTTTGTCACTTTCAGTCACAATTCACTCATCAAATTAGTGAAGCATATCAGAAGTTAGAAACACTGAAACAACTCTGAATAGTGATGAAATAAAATGATGAAAGATACTCATACTTTGTTCGAATACAATACTAAAACCTAAAACGAAAATTGTCTCAAAATATTAATACATTGATTGTATCGTTGAACATTGTGTTTCAAAGACTGTAATACTTTAAAATTCTTCTAGATATTTTTTTTTCTTCAAAATAATAGTATTTGAAAATTTTGAAAAGTTCATTTGTCTCAAAAGCACTATCATCCTGAATGAGTAAGGAAAAAAATATTGTATACTTAATTATTAAAAGTAAAAATTATTGATTTTCGAGTAATTAACATTCGAAGTTTTACATCGTATTTCATAGTCGAATGGAACTCAAATACCATCTAGTTTTCTGAAATCAACTTTCTGAATATACGCCCGACAAATTTACTCAAGCAGATCCATTGTTTAGTTTTATTTAAAAACACAATATATCAAGACGTAAAAATGGCCATCAAACAGGTTAAATTCAAGAATATACATGAAAAATGTCTATATATCACCTTATTGTAATTTCAATAATTTAAAATGCAAATAAACTATCATCATTAGATAAAGTTTTCTTACTAAAATACTGAGTATTGTTTGCTGTAGGCGCAAACGAGCAACCAATCTGTTACATTCTCTACTAGGTGTTTCATGGTGAATATATGAGAAAAATCGACTACTTACTTGACAACCTGACCAAACAATACTACCAATTGCTACTGCTTTAACAGTTAGAGTGTCATAGTAGTAACTACACCATGGAACAAATTCGACCAATAAGAATATTGGAAAACCTAATGTAATTATAAACACTACCAAGAACACATATCCACGAATATAAGATGAACCTTCTGGTACGATCTATAACACAATTAAAAACATATTGACTATATTTTATATTAAAAAAAAAAAATAAAAGAAAATCGATTGATTATCAAACTTTTCAGTTTGACCTATCACATAACTGTTATATTTTTTCTATTTATTATTGTATTGTAGTACAATAGAACGGAATAAACGAAATAAAATGTTATTTTTCCATCTGAACTACATAGCCAAACGTATGTAGAAACTATCTGTTCAGTTTTAAATTTGAATGTAATAACAGAGCTTGGTATGGGTCTAAGTTAAAATGCTTTTGACAATTATTAATTACATAAAATAGTTTTTAACAAACTATATTAAGCAGCAGGAACATAAATAGACGAAGTGAAAAATATTACCGATAAATGTTGATAATTCAAAAAATAGATAATAGATATAAAATAATACTTACAAGACCATGAATTGCTTCGTACAAGCACCAAAACATAAACAGAAACATTGTTAAAATGCTGACAAACACCGCAAACTGATCTTTTTTGGACTGTAAATAAGAAAAAGGATTAAGAAATATATTTCTTATCATTCAATTAGTTGATTTTAATTAGGTAGCTCAATATCACAGACTTTCTACCTCTAAAGAGTTGTTGTAATTGTATTCACATAGCTTTGAATGTAAAAACAACCGAAGTTAGGAGATATAGTATCCTGAATGTTGAATATATCATCAATGATTCACGTACATCCTCATTAATAACATTCAAAACAATATCTGTCAATCTGAATCATCTTTGTTTTTGTAGAAGAATTTTCAGAAACATTAATGCAAACTTATTATCTACCAATATCTCACTGAACTATTCAATAAGGAGACGAGCAATGATGACATACCATCGATGATGAAATCATTGGCTTTCGTCGTTTATCGCTACTTGATAACATGGAAGCTATATTGATCAGATTGAAATAACTGATTGAATATTAAGTCCTACAACAGAAATAAATGATAATTTTTTTAAATTCATAAACTTGATCAATAGATGTAATCTAGGAAAATCTATATTACGTAGTTATGTTCTGCACATTAAGTGCAACTTATGCAACTGATGCACGTATTGACACGATTGTTACATACTTCAATATTGTTGCCTAAATAAATAGGATCACATCGTATGTTCGAATATCAATGGTATATCAGACTGAATGATTATAATTTCTTCAAATTCATACAAAGTTCGTTTACGGACATTATATTGAACTAAATGGTCATTGTATCTCTAACGACAAACTACGTTAAGGAAGAATGTGATTATATAGTACTGCATATTTAAATTTGATTTCAAATTTAAAAATCATTCATGAATATGGATCAGATCTCCTAGAACTCACTTTTATCTTCTGAAGGTAAACATTTTCAAAAAGAAAA